GAGCAGGGAGCCCAATGTGGGACTCGATCCCAGGACCCCCAGATCATGACCTGAGCCGAAGGCAGACCCTTAACCATCTGAGCCACCCAGGCGCCCTTCTGGCGGGATTTTTAGTTCGCCAATTGCAGTACTTCCCAGAGGAGGCACTATCGGCATTTGGGGGCAGGACAACTCTTTGTGGTTGGGACTGTCCTTCCGTCACCAGATGGGGCCTGGCAGTCCTGTCCCCGCCCCACCCCCGAGGTGGAGGATCTGCCCGTTATGTGAGGAAGAGGTTCCCCCAAAGCCCTTTGACGGGTGGGAGCTCCCTGCAGTTGGCAACAACCATCCTGTGACCTCGTGACTCTAAGTGGTGGTGACTCAGTACTTTCCACCTCCGCACGTTGTCCGAGGATGGTAATGGTCCGCATCTTGCCACATCTCTACTTTCGCTTCTCAGTTTCCGTCATTGCTACTTCTCCTGTTTCAAGATGTGGGAAATTCGATTTGGGTTCTGGAGCCATCATAATGTTGTCCACACTCACCTAGGCTGATTCTAGGTACTGGAGCTTTGTACGATGTACATGCTGCTTATTGAACCCCCCACTGGTAGACCACGCTCGTTGCTGTTCTCTTGTTCTGTACAAGCCAGATCTTAGCATTCGCGTGTTTTCTTGGGCATGCTTGCCCACAAGACTGAGCTGTGTGGGTGCTGAGCACGCTTTGCTTATCCTGGTATCTCCAGGTCCCCGTACCTGGCCTGATATTCAGAAGATGTCGGAAGGAAGGTGGAGCTAGGCTCGGTTGGAGGTGAGGAGGCTCAGGGCACATTGTGATTTTTGTGGGCCCCTTCCTCTGTGAAGGAGGCATACAGACATGTGTAGGAAAAGAAGAGAGGGAAGGAGGTAGGAAGGAAGGAGAAATATTTTACCCCTGCATTGGTATAGAGATGAATAAAATCCAGGCTGGATTCATGATCATATATTTATTGTTATTATATTCATCTTTCTTTTCTGATTTTAATAGAAATTAAAATGGTTTGTTTCCCTCTCTGACTCTTAACTCTAGGAAACAAACTGAGGGTTGCTGGAGGGGAGGGGGTGGGGGGAAGGGGTAACTGGGTGATGGGCAGTAAGGAGGGCACGTGATGGAATGAGCACTGGGTGTAAGACTGATGAATCACTGAACTCTACCCCTGAAACTAATAATACACTATATGTTAATTAATTGAATTTAAATAAAAATTTAAAAAAGAAAGAAATTAAAATGAAAACATTCTCACGGGTCCCAAAAGCTCACAGACCTGGCATGGCACCTTCTGTTCCTAAGGGAGGGCTGGGCACCAACCAAGCAGGATGAACCAGGAAGGCTGTTATCCTTCCACAGAAACCTTGCCGCACCAGGCCCAACACCTCCCACCCAGTATGTCCCTCCTCCAGGGTGAAATGCAGCATCCTTAGAATGTGGGGAGGGAGGGCTGCGTGGCCAACGCTGCTCATCAACCCAGTCTCGCCTCTTCCTGGGGCCTCTCTGACCTCTGAGGCTCTGCCAGTGTCCCCTTCTGCCTCCAAGACCTTCCCCAAGACGCCCATCTTCTTCTGCAACACCCCCTTTCATTGCTGGGTCCTGCTGGTGGCCCCTTCTGAGATACCCGCTGCCTGGAGCGCCCACACGCCCCTGCATGGTTCTGACCTTCAAATCATCCGTTTGCTCCTTCACAGCCCCCAGCAGACCAGGAGCTCCTGGAGGGCAAGGAGGGAGTTTGCTCAGTTCATTCAATAACTCTGAGCCCAGTGCGTAGTAGGAGCTGGAGGAAAAAAAATGCAAGAAATAAAATTATGTAAATTACACTTTAATTAAAAAATGTCCATTGCTGGAAAAATAAGGCTGACATGCTATTGGTGAAATTGGCAAAAGAGAACTAAACTGCATAATACAAAAAAGTTGAAGATACCATTCAGTAGAATGTGACAGACCACGGAGAGCCCAAGCAGGTCTATCGCGCGGAGAATGCTGGGATTTTGGTTGAAAACAGTAATGCTTCAGACGGAAATGTTTTAGTTTGCATAGATTTCAATTGCACCGTTATTCCATTTTTAGGGTTCTTCCAGCAGTTTCCCAGATAGCGTCTCAAGCTTTAGTTAGTTAATATTCAGACAGTTACATTTCATAATCAGTCACAAAATTGTGCTTTGTTGTTAAAGCTGTTGAAATATCCCTGTTTTTTGTTTTTTTTTTAAGGTTTTATTTATTTATTTGAGAGAGAGAGTGAATGAGAGAGAATGAGCGCTCATGAGTCGGGGGAGGGGGGCAGGGGAGGGAGAAGCTCTGCAAGGAGCCTGACATGCGGCTCCATCCCAGGAACCTTGGATCGTGACCTGAGCCCAAGGCAGACACTTAACCGACTGAGCCACCCAGGTGCCCCTAGACTTTGACAGTGTTAAGAAGTACTGGTCAGTGTTGTGTGGAACATCCACCAATCCGGACTTGTCTGCTGTTTTCTCCTGCTTAGCCTGGGGTTATGGGATTTGGGGATGTAGACGACAGAGGTGAAGGGCCCCCCATCACATCTAATGACACCCACAGGCAGACACCCCCCTTTTCAAGTGATCAAGGTTACATGTGCATTTTTATGTTGTTACATCTATTTGATTGTCATAAGCCATGAGACACAGAGGGAAACTATGGTTCCAGGCATTGATCCGACCAAAGTGTTGCGGATTTCATAAGGAGGGTCAGGCGTGGCCCTGTCTTTAAGGAACGGGAAACTGACACTCCCAGAGTCTCTGCACCTTTGCCAACGTGATCCAGCGTGTGGGCAGCAGAGCCAAGATTCGAACGTGACTCTAACTCCATATCCTTGTTTTGTGTTTTTTTTTATTTTTTATTTTTATTTTTAAAATTCTTTTAAGTAGGCCCCATGCCCAGCACGGAGCCCAGTGCGGAGCTTGAACTCACGACCCTGAGATCAAGACCTGAGCTGAGATCAAGAGTCGGACGCTTAACCGAAGGAGCCACCCAGGCGACCCCTTGTTTTGTGTTTCTTGTTTCTCCTTTTGGCACCAGTGATTCCAAATAACAAAACGAATAACAGAAACAGTAACTAAAAACAAACAAAAATTTTTGCTAAAACTTATTAAGACCTGGCTGTGAGCCTGGCACCATGTGGTGAATCTTCGGGACTGACCCACGACAAAGAAACCGTATATTCTCCTATTTGTCAGATGAAGAAACAGACTTTGGGAGGTTTTAACGTTGGCACATTGCTGAGCTGGTGCGAGAACCAACCCCTCCATCACACACACGGAGAACTGTTTTGAAAAATATCTGTCTATCATCTATTTATTATATGGAGGTGAAATTTGCAAAACTTAAAATTAACCATTTTAAAGTGTACAATTCAGTAGCCTTTAGGATATTCGCATTGTCTGGCTACCACCACCTCTAATGAGTCTCAAAGCATTTCCATCACCCCAAAAAGATGCCCATACCCCTTCGGCTGTCACTCCCCATTCTCCCCCTCCCCGAAACGCCTGGCAACCATGAGTCTGCTTTTTCCTTCTACCGATTTACCCATTTTGCATATCTCATAAAAACAGAATCATACAACATGTGGACTTTTGTGTCTGGCTTCTTTTATTTACCGTAATGTTTTCAAGGTCTGCCCATGTCCTGCCGTGTATCAACACTTCATTCCTTTCCATGGCTGGACCCTTTGTTTATCCTTCATAGATAGACATTTCGGTTGTTTCCGTCTTTTGGTTCCTGTAACTGCTATGACCATGGTGTACACGTCTTTGTTCGAATACCTGTTTTCAGTTCCTTTGGGTGTGGAATTTTTGGTCTTACGGACCACCATATCCCACGCATTCATTTTTCTTTTCTTTTTAGATATGAAAACCAGGGGCGCCTGGGTAGCTCCATCAGTTACACGGCTGACTCTTGATCTCAGCTCAGGTCTTGATCTCAGGGTCGTGAGTTCAAGCCCCGTGTCGGGCTCCATGAATTATAAAATAAAAAATGGAATCTGAAAACGCATTTTTGGTGTGATACTTTCCCCCAGATTTTTAATCTAAATTATATTAATTGCACTTTCTTAGTTTTGAGTCGCTAATGCTTGGAACAGTGACTGACAAACTAAGTAAGTGTATTGCCAACCCTTAATGACAAAAACCACCAAAACCTCTTTCGTGCCAGTCAATGAATTTGTACCTTATTAATGATGACATTTGAAAAACTTATATATGAAACATCTGTTCTAGGCATATAATTGAGTCTTAATGAGAACTGCTTTATGATGAATGATGAGGGAGCTCTTATTCATGCCAAGGAACACAGGCCGTATTTTGTTTTTAATCTGTCTATCTCAATCTCACAAATTAGATGTGGGGCCCACTGTTCCATTTTATTGATTAGGGAACTGAGGCTTGAGGGTGTGTCCTCTCAGAAGTAAAGCCTGATTTCACACCCACATCCTCCTAGTCTCTGTTTAATTGGGTTACGTTCTCTGTCTGGAAGACTCTGGAACACTCAAGAACCCACACTTAGGTAGAGGCCCCACTTTAGTTTTATTTAAAAAGCCCATTAGAGCGACCTTCTTAAACTGGGGGTCCAGGTCAGGAAAGGTTTTCCCCCAAGCCATGGTAATGCAGCTTATGGCCACACGGGGGCAGTCTTAGCTAAGGGTAGCAATTGTGCCTTGGAAACAGGCCGGGCTCCCCAACAGGGAAGCTGGCTGCAGTGTTTCTAGGCCAACTTTAGGAAATTAATCAGCAACCGTAGAACTCTGGGTAAACAAATATAAAACAGATCAGACATCAGCTCAGAAAACCACAGCAAGGATTCTCACCTGTTTAAGGGGCGGGACGGGTCTCCTGTCTGCTGGACAGTTGCACCCCAGCCCAGATGTGAGCTGGGGTTCACTCCCCGAGGGATTCCGTTGTCACAGACAGATGATGACCCCAAGGAGAGGGCACCACTTAGCCGCCGAAGAACGTTCTCAGCCTTCTTTCCTGAGAGGGCAGGCAATTGCATGACACACTTACTTCAAAAGCAGATAAAAGCAAGTGTCCAGGGCGACCTTTAGTTTTGGTGGGGGCAGAGGTCCTCAGATTTTTGGAATTCATTAACCAATAACATTGAAAAAACTGGTGTCGTCATAGGATGGATATCAGGTTTTGATCTTGCCAGTGAAGGGTATTAAAAAAATACAGTTGGCATTTACTATTTCTGTCATTTTGTTGGAAAAATATAACTGAAGACCTAAAGGAGGACAGTCCTTTAAACTGACCCCCCCCACACACACCAAAAAAAAAAGCCTCATGAAAAACAAATCACTAAAAACTTCATTAAGACTCGAACAAAGATCCACCTTGGGAGGCATTATTCTAAACGTGTTAATTCTTTTGGTTGGAGAGAAGTTTCTTAAGGAAATCAAGATAGCAAAGGACAAGGAACTCACCCGAATTTCCCTAAAGGCATTGTGCATTTCCACCGGACTGCGAAGAGTTCACCTTTCTTGAGCGAATGCAATGGGCCCTGTTCCCCCCACCCCCACTATCTCATTTAATTCTTGGAGCTCCGCTTTGAGATAGGAACTTTGTATCCTTCCCATTTGTAAACCAGCCCTCCAAGAGTTTGTGGGGCCTGCAGACAGCTGGGGAGGCTTTAGCCCTGAGATTTGAATGCAGACCATGGCAACAGCAGAGCCCCCTACCTAACCATCAGGCAACATGGCTTTTGCTCTCTGTTTGATCCAGGTTGCTTTAGAAAGAAAAGCTGTGGGTTTCCTGATAATTTAAAAACAGCCACCACCCCACCTGGCCATCAACGAAGGAAATCACTTTCAGTTTCAAGGCAGCTAAGGTGTGAACATGGTTCTTTTTGTTATTAAAAAAATGGGGGGAGGATTTGAAGGTTGAACTCTATAACCGAATTTGCATCCTCCTTGGCTCACTTAACGGGATATGATAAAGCACTTTCCCCAGTTACTAATATTCTCTGTAGCCATACTTTGTGAAGGTTGTAACATCTTCCATTGATGAATGAAACATATATTTGGCCCCTACTATCCTGTACTGAGTTGTCTTAGTCCGGGTAACAGAGCACCACACACACAGGGTGGCTCATAAACAAAAGAAATCTATTTTTCACAGTTCTGGAGACTGGGAGTCTGAGACCAGGCAGGGTCAGCATGGTAGGATGGTCTTCCCTCTTCTGGGCAAAAGATTTCTTGCTGCGTCCTCACATGGTAGAAGGTGGGGGAGTCTGTGGAGTCTCTTTTAGGTCCTATTCAGAAAGGCTTCACCCTCCTGACCTAATCACCCCCCAAAAGCCCCACCTCCTACCACCATCACACTGGGCACAGGATTTGGGGAGCATACAAACATAGAGACCGCAGCACTTACCTTAAGTTCCCAAGAGTTCATTGTTTCTAGAAAACACTGCATTGGACATCCTTCTGCATTTGGTTTTTTTCACATTTCAGATTTCCTTATGGTTAGATTTTTCAGAAGTGGGCTTAACGGGTCAAAGGCTAGAACATTTAGAAACTTCTCAGAACATGTGCACAGTGAACACACAGTTTGATTTAACAGAGGCCCGGTAGAAATAGCCATACTTGTTTTATTGATTATGCTGTGGGCGAAGTACCAATTGTTTTTAGATAGTGCCCCATGACTGGCTTGGCTGAGATCCAGTTGAAAGATCGCTTTTACAGTTTCTATTTAAAAAGCTGCTCACATTCTTCTATTTTTTTTTTTTTAAAGATTTTTATTTATTTATTTGGCAGAGAGGGACACAGCGAGAGAGGGAACGCAAGCAGGGGGAGTGGGAGAGGGAGAAGCAGGCTTCCCGCCGAGCAGGGAGCCCGATGCGGGGCTCGATCCCAGGACCCTGGAATCATGACTTGAGCCGAAGGCAGACTGAGCCACCCAGGCGCCCCAATAAAAGCACATTCTTATTTTGTAAGTTATTTTGTTATTCGTTAAGGTGGAAAAGCATTAGAGATCGACTCGTGCTTTTCCAGATGGCCCTTCTAGGTTTTGAGCAGGTATTCCTCCTCTCTGAATTAATGGCAGTTGGTCCTTGAACAACACGATTGAACTGCACAGGTCCACTTACATGTAGATATTTCTCAGTAAATACAGTACAGCACTGTAAAAGTATTTTCTCTCCCTTACGATTTTCTTGATAACGTTTTCTTTTCTCTAGCTTGCTCTATTGCAAGAATACGGTATAGAACACATATAACATACAAATTATGTTTTAATTGACTGTTTATGTTATCAGGGAGGCTTCCAGCCACCAGTAGGCTGTTAGTAGTTAAGGTTTGGGAGGTTGAAAAGTTATATGTGGATTTTCGACTGTGTCGGGGGTCAGCGCCCCAATTTCCGCCTTGTGCGGGGGTCAGCTGTGTACCCCCGTCTCTGAGTTTTGGGGAAGGTGCATTGCTTTTCTCAGCTCATATTTCCTCTTTTCCCTTCTTGCCATTTGCTGTCAGCTTCTGCCACTCAATGAGGGGATGGAGCATCACAAATTTGCAGACACGTTTTAAACGCAGGGCAGCTCCCCTCTGTGTATTGCTCGCTGGACCTCAGCCGTTCATCACACAAACCATCATTTCCTCAATCTCCTGTGGGGCTTCTCAGTCTGGGCATTGCAGGGATAGAATGTAGCAAGTCTGAGAACTTGCGTAGGAAAAAGTTACAAACATTTACTTTCGCCAAGTCTACTTTTTTTTTTTTTTAAAGATTTTATTTATTTATTTGACAGAGACACAGCGAGAGAGGGAACACAAGCAGGGCAAGTGGGAGAGGGAGAAGCAGGCTTCCCACCGAGCAGGGAGCCCGATGTGGGGCTCGATCCCAGGACGCTGGGATCATGACCTGAGCCGAAGGCGCCCCTCGCTAAGTTTACTTCTAATAGAGCAATTTCTTGATTATGAAAGTTGGCGGCAAACAGCGTAGTAGGGGCATCACCCATAATTCTGCCACCAGTAGGTGTCAGATATTTTCCTCTTACACATTACAGTGGTTGTGGCTATCTGGAAATATTATTCACTCATCCTTACGTTGGAATTAGGGTAGTGATTCAGCTCTGCTCTGGGTCTTGTTACTTAATGCATTCATCAAGAAGAACCTGTGTTATAATATCTCAAATTAGTTTTTGTAAAAGTTTCAGAGACTTTATTTAAAAATAAGTGATTTTGCTTGTGATCTTATGGATTTTATTTTATGTGCCTTTTGATGTTCTGCTGAGCACAGGTATGTGGGCTTCCCCAGACTACACAGTTTTGTGGGCCACAGTGGGGCTCAGGAGTGTGAGTGGAAATGTGCGCCTGTGTGCTGGGGAGGCGGCCTGGGGGCCTCTACCCATTTCAAGGGAGCAGTGGCTACTTAGCTCTGGGCAGTGGGCGCCAGGTGGGAGTCCAAGTCCAATGTTGCCAAATTTTCAGTTTTTTTTTTTTTTGGAAAAGCCAGAAATCTGGATTTTTATGTGAACTCTCCTTTATAAAAATATTGGTTCAGGGGGCACCCGGGGGCTCAGTCGGTTAAGCGTCTGCCTTCAGCTCAGGTCAAGATCCTGGGGTCCTGGGATCGAGCCCCGCATCGGGCTCCCTGCTCTTTGGGGAGCCTGCTTCTCCCTCTCCCACTCCCCCTGCTTGTGTTCCCTCTCTCTCTGGTAAATAAATAAAGAAAATCTTTAAAAAATATTGGTTCAAAATTTAAAAGAGAAATGTGGGATAAATGAAACACCTTAGCAAGCTTCCAGCTGATGTGCT